GTCAAACCAACATGGGAGGAAGTCTCAGCGAGGGATTGTCTCCATTTGGTTGGCCTGTGGGCGTGTCTGTAGATGACTGTCTTGATTATGTTAGTTAATACTGGAGGACCCAGCCTTGTGTGGATCGCACCATTCTCGAGGCTGGGCATCCCGAACTATGTGAGGGGAGAAACAGCTGAGCAGAAACCAGCAGACAAGGGTGTTGCCAGAGCTTTCTGTCCCATCTGGTCCCACAGCTGTTCAGTCCCAAAGACACATGCAGAGAGGTCTACATTAATTATGAACTGGTTGACCTATTAGCTGAGGCTTCTTATTAACCCATCTTAACCCATAATTCTTGTCTGTATTAGCCCATGTAGCTTGGTACCTTTTATAAGTGAGGTGTTCTCATCTTGCTTCCTCTGTGTCTGGCTTCCTCTGTGATGACTGCAGACTCAGCCTTTCCTCTTCCCAGAATTCTTCTGTTCTTGTCACCCCGCCTATACTTCCTGCCTGGCTACTGGCCAATCAACGCTTTATTAAAACAATACAATATGAGTGACAGGGTACAAGACCATTGTCCCGCAGCACAAGGGAACATACAGGTGTTCATCTCCCTTTGCTCCTGACCCTGGATGTGATGTGAACAGTTAACCAACTGCTTTCAGTTCCTGTTGCCTTCCTCGACTTCCCCTGCAAGATGGACGAGGCCTGGAAAGATGAACAGAAATAAATTCATTTTCCCTTAAGCTGCTTTTTATCAGGATATTTTATCACAGTGTTATAAGACAGAATTTTCCTGGGGAGGCACAATATGAATGTGTCTATTTACCCTAGAAAGGGAACCCATGACAGACCAAAGTGACAGTCGCACCAGTATCCAATTTGGTAAACCAGTGTGTTTTTATTGGGTACTGGGGTTACTGAGAAACATGGATGAGGGGGTACTTACAGGCACAGGCTGCTGTACCACCTCAAAGCTCACCCAGCACAGGAGACAGCTCACGAAAGCTGCGATGGCGGAGCTGTCTACAGTTCACAGGCGGCCTCGCAGCCCAGGAATCTTTTCTATCCAGCTTATCTGCCCCGTGTCCTCTCCCTGAGTCATTGTTTACGCCTTTCTATTCTGCCAGGGAGGGCCCTCTAGATTCTTCCAAGCATTTATTATACTTTTGTGTACCTCCTGAGTCCTATGAGCCTCTCCTTCCTCCTGGAGGGAATGTTTAATTGGGAGGAAACTACCGCCCAACACAGCAACGGCAATGACACTAGAACGCCAATGTTTGCCTTTTCTTCGGGTGGAATTGTTGCTCACATGGAAACTCCGTTTAACTTTTTAAAGTAACAGCAAACTGTTTGCCCACATGTCTGCACCAATTGTGAATTCTGCCAGCTGTCCATACGGGCTTCAGTTTCTCTATATTCTCATGCACGCACATGGGGACCACATTAAAAACCTCCTCTTATTCCAGGGCTGGGCACGGCTCAGTGGTCCAGTGTTGTCTAGCATATGCAAGATCTTGGGCTTGGTCTCCAGTGATGTAAAATAAGCAGTAGTCATTGTAGCTGGGTGTGATGTACTTACTATCTTGCTGTGGTTGTCCTCAACTATCCTTCAACGGCAAGCTGTATGCTCTTCGGCCATTTGAATCTTCTTTGGAGAAGTTCTGTGGTCACTTTAAATGAATTATTTGTCTTTTTACTGTTGAGTTTTAAGAACTCATATATTCTAGAAGCAAGTCCTTTGTCATCTGTAAGATAGAGGAATCTTTTATCCTAGTCTGTGCATAGATTGGCCCTTCATGGTCTATTGGTCAAGTCTTACGTCAACCAGAGGATGGGAGAAGAACTGTGTCTATTTATTTATTTAAAAAATTATGTCATTGGTGTCTGTGTGAGGGTGTCAGAAGCCCTGGAACTGGAGCTACAGGCAGGTGAGAGCCACCATGTGGATGCTAGAAATCGAACCCAGGTTCTCTGGAAGACTAGCCAGTGCTCTCAACCGTTGCACCATTCGCCAGCCTCTAAACTGTGCCTCTTGGTAGAGAATATGCCCAAACTGCAAGGAACCTGGGACCATCTTATTTATTTACTTATTTATTGACAGAGCCTCACTATGAAGCCTTGTTTTGTCTGAAATACCCTGTGTAGACCAGGCTGGCCTTGAACTCATGGAGATCTATTTTTCTCTGCCTCCTGAGTGGTGGGATTAAAAGCATGTGCCACCTGTGCCTGAAGAAGGAGATTTTATTTTTTTAAGATTTATTTGTTTACTTATGTGTGTTTGCTTGCATGAGTTTATGTGCACCGAAGTAATGTGCATGCAGAAACCAGGAGAGGCCAGAAGAGAGAGTTAGCTTCTTTGGAACTGGGGTATAGGCAGTTGTGGGCCATGATGCGGTACTAGGAACTTAACTTTAGTTCCTAGGTCTTTCTTAGGAGCAGCAAGTACGCTTTCTTTTTTTTTTTTCAAGACAGGGTTTCTTTGTAGCTTTGGAGCCTGTCCAGGAACTCATTCTGTACATTAGACTGGGCTAGAGCTCACAGAGATCCCCCTGCCTCTGCCTCCCAAGTGCTGGGATTAAAGGCGTACCACTACCACCCAGCGAGCAGCAAGGACTCTTAACCCACAGCCATTTTTCCAGCCCCTGTAATGATTTTTAATTCATTAAAGTTTTACCGCAGCAGCGTGCATTCCCTAAGAATGAGATGATTTTTCTGGAGAAAGTGTGTCAATAGAACAGAGTAGTAACTGTGACCCAGATGAAGTGACAGACGGACTAGAGCGTGGGTCCAGTGTTTCTTTTCCTGATGCTGAGGTAGCATCTTCCGACAAAGGCAACTTACAGGAGAAAAGGTTTCCTTTGGCTTGCTGCTCAGTCCACCATGTAGGGACATCCCCACAGAAGCTAGAGCAGGTCACGATGTGTCCACAGTCAGGGATCAGAGACCCATGGTTGTCCATGCTCAGCTCACTTCCTCCTTTTTGTTATGTCTAGGACCCAACCCCGGGAAATGGCATAGCTTTCATTAAGGGTCTGTCTTCTCACCTCAACCCAGTCAAGATAACCCTTTGCAGGAGACTCACTCTGGACTATGATGGGCTAATCGTTGTCAGCTGCTGCACTGACCTGTGATGATGGACTGTAACCTGGGATTGTGTGCTGAAAGGAACTTTTCTTCTTTAAGATGATTTTTCTCAGGGTGTTTTGTCGCAGCAGCAGAAATGAAACCAGGACACGAGCCAGATGTGAACAGTCCCTGCCAGGTGTGCCCCGAGGCTCACCCTAGGCGGTTCTGGATCTGCTCAAGTTGGCCATCCACATTAATCTCCACAGGAAAGTAGGAGAAAGAGCATGCACAAAGGTCTTGGGCGAGAGGGTGGGGCTGGTGACTGTATCAGATGGGACGGGGATATGTGATAGGGCGCATGTGTTGTGACACGGAAGCCACCACTCTGTCTACTATGCTTTTTTAATATAGAATAGCGTAGTGGTTTAAATAAGAATCCCCCTACGCCATAGACTCATGTATTTGAGTGCTTGGCCCATAGGAAGTGGTACTATTAGGAGGTATGGCCTTATTGGAGTAGGTGTGACCTTGTTAGAGGAAATGTGTCACTGGAGGGGGGGCAGACTTTGAGATTTCCTATGCTCAAGCTATGCCCAGTGTGTCTCAGTCTCCTATTGCTTGAGGAACAAGATGTAGAACTCTCAGCTCCTTCTCTAGCACCATATTGTTTCTGTGCCACCATGCCTCACCATGATAACGATGAACGTCTGAGTCTATAAGCCACCCCTGTAACATGAAGGGGCCGGCTTGTTGGGGTTTGTGTTCTACCCAGTTCCCCACAGCCGGCAAGCCCCAAAGAAAATCACACAGACATCTTCATAAGATTAGAAACTGATTGGCCTATTAGCTCAGTCTTCTTGTTAGCTCTTGTAGCTTATATTAACGCATTTTTCTTATCTATGTTAGCCACATGGCTCAGTACCTTTCTCAGCAGGGCAGATCACATCTTGCTTCTTCAGTGATCTGGGCAGAACTGCGGAGGGAGCTTCCTGCTTCCCAGAATTCTCCTGTTCTCATCGCCCTGCCTCTACTTCCTGTCTGGTTGACCTGCCTATACTTCCTGCCTGGCCAATCAGCATTTATTTGAAACATGATTGACAGAATACAGACAATTCTCCCGCACCACACCCCAATGAAATGTTTTCCTTTATGAGAGCTGCTACAACCATAGCATCTACTCACAGCAATAAAATCCTAACACAGAGTCACAAGGTGGGGGGACAGAAAAAGAGCAGCCTTCACTAGTGACGTCTGAGTTGGGGGTCTCTGGAAGACCATCCACCCCTGAGTGTCACAATACTACCATTTCTGCCTGTTGTGGGAGCTGCCTCAGGAACCCCAGTCAGTCATCCCAAGATCTGCTAGCAGCTTTTGCCTCCAGGCTGCTTGGCCCTAGCTGTGGGCTGCAGCAGGCTGACTCTCAGATGTGCAGAACCTCAGGTTCCAGTGGGATCTAAGAGGTCGAAGATGTCCATTCCAGAGTGTAGGGCTTGCCCAGGAGGTGCCCTGGCTCCACAGAACAGTTTCCTCAGGGCCCTCAGGGGCCATGGTGTGTGTAGGAGCACAGATAGGCTTCAGGCGCTGGCAGCTCTGGTCTGTGAATCTCAGCCTGCTGCAATTTGCATCTGAAATGTCCCCAGAGATCCCTGTGCTAAAGGGCTGGCTGCTGGCTTGTGACACTATTAGGAGGTAGCAGAACCCTTGAGAGGTGAGGTAGATGACGTTAGGTCACTGGTCTGTAGCGGGGGTGGTGTCGCCTTCTGTATTCTGATCACTGTGATGTTTGGGAACTTTTTCCCCTGCATTCTGCTGCCTTTAATTGTGCAATCACAGGCCCCAAACAACAGGACCAACGGCCACAAACCAAAGCTTTTCCAAATATCAGCCCAAGGAAATCTTTCTTTTTTTATTGCATATTAATGAATTCATAAATTCATTGATTCAGTGTGTATGGTGGGGGGTGGCGCATGATATGATGCGTGTGTGGAGGGCGGAAGGGTAACCTGCGGGAGTCGGGTCTCTCCTTCTATCACATGGGTCCTGGGGGTTGAACTCAGGCCGCCAGCCTTGACTACAAGCATCTTTATCTACTTAGCTCTCCAGCCTTGGTCATCTCAGGCTTTCTGTAAAGGTGACAGAAAAGCTAATGTAAGTACATTTTAAAAACAGTAGGAGACTGATAAAACAATGTTACTGGCACTAACGTGCATTTTTAGCATAGATGGCTGCATTAGTCAGGGTTCTTTGGAAGAGAAGAGCCAACAGAATGAATATTTACCGCCACAGGGGATTTATTATGTGACTTGCACAATAGGAGCTGGGTAGTCCCGCACGGCTGTCTGCCTGCTGAGAACCCATAGCGAGCTGCTCTGTCCACAAAGATGGTTGACTCAGCAGTCCCAAACTGGTGCGGAAGGCGTGGAGGATTCCTGGGGGGGGGGGCACTCATTGTCAGTCCATGTTGGAAAGCAGGCGGTAGAAACAGCAAATGCATTCATTCAGCAGCTAGAAACGAAAGTGGGCAGGCAAAAGCCGTCCTGCTTTTCTTTGGATATTGCTGAATCACCATTGGGCAATGCTGCCCATTCTGGGGGGACGTCTTCTCACCCAGTCAATCCTTCCTGGGAATGCCCTCCCAGAGCCACCCAGAGGACTGTCTTAGTTCAGTCTCTATTCTATCAAGTTGATAACGGCCGTTAACCATCGCGAAGGTTAACAAGTAGATAGCATTTTAAACCACACAGCTGAGAGAGCGATCAGTACCTTTATGCCCCAAGGTGACAGGAGCCTGGTAGGCAGAGTAGACTTCAATTCCTCCTGGAAGGTCTGTGTGACCCTAAATCCTGCTTCATCTGATCAACTGTCACCAGAAAGGTCCTCTGTAACTCCCTGTGGTCACCCAGTGGGAGTGGAAGTGGGAAGCTCCCTTGACACAGGGTGAGGGAATTCACTTGACTGGGACCAGCTCAGACACATGGGGTCAGGCTCTTCCTGGCTGGCCTTATTCTTTCTGCTTTCCTTCCCCTCCCTCTCTGCTCACTGTCCTCTTCCATCATTCCCTCTGCAGGGCCTTCCTCACTTCACTGCCTGGCCTCCGATGACAGAAGTTGCAGAGGATTCTGGGTAGGACCTTACTCGCACCCAGTCCAGACTCTTCCCAGCTGGAGCATGGCCTTCCTGGGCACAGAGACCTGTGGGTGCTTTCTGCCTTCAGCAGCAGAGGGCACTAGTGTTGGTGCCTCAGTTAAGCCTACACAGCTTGAGTAAGCCACAGTCATACCAGCAGGGCCCCTCTTGCAGTGTGACCCTTCTGCCACACTATCACGGGGTTGGGGGCATCCTGCAGAAGTGATATCTTCCTTGGTTCCCTTTCTATCCACTTGCTGTTTTTTTTTTTTTCTCAAGACTCTGGAAACAAGAATGCCCATGTACCTCAGAGTTTTTCCTCTTAGTGGGCCAAGGTCCGGCCCTTCTAATGTTGGGGTTGCCAAAGGTGCGAGAGTGTCACTGTCAGGGCCAGCTGAGGGTGAAGGCATGCCTCAGAGGCAGGGCGGTGGGTGCGGCCTGGCTCAGCTGCACCAACGTGGTATTTAAATATTTATTTTTAGTGGCCACTAGTTAAATAGCAGCCTTCATTTTGGTGGAAGCAATCATGAAAAGTAAAAATAAATCAGATTTTTTGCCTTGCCACTCATTGCACCAGAACCTGTTGGGTGGACTCTTGGGCTCAGCACCCCACATTTCTAGGCTAAATGCCATGTTAGTTAGATGGAGGAGCAGTGGTGGAGGCAGGTATAGGGGATTCACAGTTCCTAGCTGTTTCCCTGGCTTCGGGGAGGGGGACAACAGCTCATGCTTCAAGATGGGCTCCCTGAGCTGGCTTTGAGAGACAGCAACAATTGATCCCCATTGTTCCTGTGTTGGAAGGTGTGGCCTGTATGGCTAGAGCTTGGATAAGCCATGTAGGTTTGGGGGAGGGCAGTTCCTTGAGGAGGCCCTCAGTGGGGCCTTCTGTCTGCTTGCTACTGATTCTGGCATTCCCACTGAGGAGAGCTTTCCTCAGGTCAAGGTTGTATTTCTGAGGGTGAGCGTGAAGACTAAGATGTTTCAGGATAGGGGTACCTGGAGGAGAAGGACCACTAACGCTGCTGAACTGCCTCAGGCCACACCAGCTTCTCCATGAGTAGCTGTTGCCCCAAGTCAACATACTTCTCACGTGAGAAGACTGACTCAGTGGAGCCAAGTTCCTGTCCTCAGCACAGAGCTGGTTAGGAAATATGGCTCCAGCCCAGAGTTTGCGTTTCTACCCTCTGTGTAAAGGATGCTGGGGAGGGAGCTTGTCCTTTCCCATCTCTGCTGCCATATGAAGATGGTGTGGGACAGTGGTCCATATTCTGTCAATTATATTTTAAATAAATGCTGATTGGCCAGTAGCCAGGCAGGAAGTATAGGTGGGACAACCAGACAGGAAGTAGAGGCGGGAGACAAGAATAGGAGAATTCTGGGAAGAAGAAAGCTCTCTCTGCAGTCCTGACCTGATCAGAGAAGAAGCAAGATGTGATTGCCCCACTGAATAAGGTACTGAGCCACATGGTCAGCATAGATAAGAATAATGGGCTAATAATGGGCTATATAAGTTATGAGTTACTAAGAAGCCTGAGCTAATGGGCCAATCAGTTTATGGTTAATGTAGACCTCTGTGTGATTTCTTTGGGACTTAATGACTCCAGGAACCGGGCAGGACAAGGACTGGGTAAGACAGAAATCCCAGACAACAGAATGGTGCCCAGTGTGGGGTGCCATTTGTTATCGAGGGCTTCTGTGTATCTTTGTCCTGGAACTCACTCGTAGATCAGGCTGTCCTTGAATTCACAGAGATCTGCCTGCCTCTGCCTCCCAAGTGCTGGGATTAAAGGTGTGTGCTACCACACCTTGAACTCACAGAGGTCTGTCTACCTCTGCCTCCCAAGTGTTGGGATTAACACACCCAGGACAGCCAAAGATACACAAAGAACCTGTCTCAAAAAGCCAAAAATTAAAAGTAAAAATAAAAGAAATAGAGGTTAAAAAATAAAGTCATGTAAAGATGAAGAATACACAGAGAGTCTGGATACTGTATGTTATTATGGTCTCTTTGAATTGTTTGAATGCTGAGAAAAGAGCAAAAGATTTTAAAAGATATTTATTTGTAAATGCTGCTGAATTAATCCAAGATAGATATTTTGAAAATATGTTGGCTTCAAAATTGAAGTCAAAAGGTATGTTACTTTGGAGAAGAGGATTTGCTTCTGTTTCCACTGGAAATGAGAGGCTGTGGATTCATTCTGAATTAAGAAAAATCAGGTTTGATCAAGGAAGACCACCCAAAAAATCTCTGGTAGGAACAGATGGCCCAGATGTCTGAGTTCTACATCCAGATCAGATTCAAGATGCTGCCTGAGATGATCAAGCCTCACAGGATACTCCAGTCAGGACTTGATATTAATTCTAAATTTTCTTTAGGTCCCCATAAGATTATCAGTGCCCCCAACCAGCGGGAAGTAGCCTGGAAAACTACGCCCACATTCCCCCCAAGATGGACTATAGATATTTTCCTTAAAGAAAAAAAAAAAGAGGGGGAAGAAGTATGGGAGAATGATCTGTATTCTGTCAATTATATTGTAAATAAACACTGACTGGCCTGTAGCCAGGCAGGAAGTATAGGCAGAACAACCAGAGAGGAAGTAGAGGTGGGTCAAAGAGAACAGGAGAATTCTGGGAAGGAGGAAGTCCATTCCTCTGCAGTCGTGACCTGGACTGCAGAAGAAGTAAGATGTGACTGCCCTGCTGAATAAGGTACTGAGCCACATGACTAACACACATAAGAATAATGGACTAATAATGGGCTATATAAGTTATAAGAGTTAATAAGAAGCCTGAGCTAATGGACCAATCAGTTTATAACTAATACAGACCCCTGTGTGATTTCTTTGGAACTTAACGATTGTAGGAACCAGGCAGCAGAAGGATGGGGTAGAACAGAAACCCTGACAACAATGCTGGGAGCACAGTGTGAGCCACAGATGATCTCCATCCCCTTCAGAGCTCTGCTCCACCAAAATGGCTGAAGTGTTTACTTTCCCAGGAAAGATCTGCCCTCAGGTCCCTGGACTGGGTGGGTGCAGAGCCTTCACCTTGCTGAGTCATGGAAACAAAGGTGCCTCTCTTCAACATCACTGCTGAGTGGATCCAACTGTCTTTTAACTTCTCTGCTGTGAGGGAGGGCCATGATAAAGCCAAGCAGACAGAGACCTGGATCGAGCCAGACCTGAAGCTTTCTACTCATTGGTCTTGGTTCCATCAACCTCTAAATCCCTAGTGGGTGGTTTGCATCTTGACTCAAGGATCAGTCCTTATGGCTCAAGAGCAATTTTTTAAATCTCCTTTAGTGCTAGGGAGCCAATTCAGGGTCCAGGAAATGCTAAGTAAGAGGAATACACCACCTGTGAACATTCATCCACCTCCTTTCTGCTATTGTGTCAAGCCCTAAGTTAGGTGCTGGGGACCAAGGGTGGGTGACACCCTCAATTATACATGTCAACTACTGGACAAATGGGAGACAAAGAGACCCATTGTGCTGATTGTTGTGGGGGAGGTAGGGCAGGGAGAAACTGGGCTCTCTGGAGGAGGTGAATGAGGTTTTTCAGAGAGCTGGTGGAACCTGGTGGGTTAGAGCGTACGTGGCTGAGGACCAGTGTGTGAAAATAATACCGAAAGCAGAACCCTGCTAAAGCCTCTCTGCTGCTGCAGGGCCCCAGGCCAGCCCTTCTGCTTGGAGTGCTGGCAGGAAGAGGCTTGGGGGAGACACAGGAAGACACTTGTGGCTGAGAGCATCAGGAGAAAGGAGGGGGCAGAGTCTTTTCATTCCAGCCCCAGTAGTAAAGAAATGGCTTTCTTCTTGCGCGAATGCAGCTTCCCACGGCTGGGGAAGAACAGATTCGTGCTATGTTTTACTGATGCCTGGCTCGGGCCAAGCAGAGCCTGAGTGGTCTGATGTGCCCACAGCTGGCCTGGCTGTACCCATACTACAACCGCTGTCTTGTTGGCCCTGCCTGGGCCCCGGCCTCTGCATCCAGCCAGAGAAACTTGGCTGGGCTGCAGTTTTCAAAATAAAGTGGTTTTCATTTCATAGTCACAAGAGAGGTTACAAAATAGAACTGGGGCTGGCGCTTCTCATATTATTTATGCAATTCTCCCCCTTTTCCCGTCCCCAAGGCAAATCACAAAGGGGTCTTTGTTCTCTCTAAGTTCAAAGTCAGCTCCTCCAAGGGAAAACTTGTGCGGGATTGCAAGCAGGAGGCTGGGTTTTACAACGCCGGGCTGTCAGAGCAGAAATATGGTCCGCAGCAGGGTTCCTGCAGGCCCCTGGCTGCAGAAGCCAGGTCTCTGGATTTCCAATGTGAACTGGGTGGGTGGGGCACTGGGTCGGGGCAGAAGGGAGGTACTACTCATTTCATCCTGCAAGGGCCCCAGTGCACCCTGCCCAAGAGCCTGGTTTCCCCATCTGCAGAGCCAGGCTTTTGTTGACTGGTCTCAATCAGAGGAGTTTACTCAGTTCCTCAACGTAGCTCACGCAAAGGTGGGGAGGGCTCAGGAGTCCGTGCCCTGGCTTGTGCTTTGAAGTGTCTGATAGACTGAATGGCTAGGCATTGGTGTGAGAAAAGGACATTTTAAAAGTCAGACCTGGTGATGCAGGTGTGCAATCTTAGCTACATTCTTTGGAGGCAGAGGAGAGAGGATGGGAAGAGTAAGGATGCCTGGGCTGCAGAGTGAGTTCCAGGTCAGTCCTGGAAACTTAGTAAGACCACGTCTCAGTCTCAAAATAAACAGTA